GAACGATTAATTTGGGATTTGAAATTTGATACTTTACCAATGACTTCACCAATTGCCTTCTCAAATGGACGGTTAAGATTTAGTTGATCTAATGGTTCATATTTAATTCTAGAGATCTATACCAAATTATCTTGTAAGTATTTATACAAATATTTATCATAGTATTCTAGAGAATTCCTACAAGATATAGTTGCAAGCTGCCTTCTAGAAGCTTTCTAGCCTGAAGCCGCTTGGATGCTTGCTATCTAGAATCTTTCTAAACCGAATTGCTGGTGCGTCTAGAATGTTCCAATTATCTGAAGACACTAACTTTTCTAGGCATTTTCGCACTTGAGCTCTGTTTGACTGCTATAATTTCGTCCCTTAGGTTCCATGTAGCTTTATGTACGTTCTTTCCATCCCGTGCCTTAGCAATTCGCCTGGTTTGCGTTGAAATTCAACCATAGAAAGATGGGAACTGGGGACAGAAATGAGGTTCTAGAGCTGGTTTGCTTAGCCAATAGGATAGCACATGGTATTCGAGTCCACACAAGAATTCAATAACGTAACTATTGGTTTTCTGGCTCCTTATTTGCACAAAACTTCTCTTTTCTACAATAAATGGCTCCTAAGAATGGACTTTGTGAAATATTTTGAAGATTTGTTTGAAAATTTTGACAAAACAATTCAAACATGACTATAGTAAACATGATGTTAATAGAGACAAGCTCATTTTGCTCTACTGAGAGTAAGCCCCGCTGCTCTTTTCCTCCACCTCTGAAGCTATTAAAGCGTTCTTCAATTTGTCAATCTCGGCTTCCATCGATAAGAATGCTCGAGATACTATTGTCTTTATCTTCTCTGTGTTACTTTCTACTACGTCACTTCTGAAAAAGTTTTACCATAAAAGTTCTGGAAGTTCATCACTTTTGACGAAGTTTTACCATAACATTTCTATGATTTGGAAAATCGGTAGAATTGATTCAATCATGGGAGTTGTGATATTGAATTGATTCAATCATGAAATCGTCCATAATTATAGTTGTACATTCACATTGGAATCTTCTTCTATATTACGATGCATAAAGCTGTTGTTTTTTTTGAAGAAACCTTAATACGACACCATTTTTAATATATACATATATATTTCGAATATGCAACTTTAAGCAATATACTATTTTCTATCTAATAGTTGAAGGATGAAATTTCTTGAAAGTATAGATGGATGACTAAATTGATGTTTTAAAAAAGCCGAAGGATTAAACTGCTTTAAATTATAGTTGTATGACGAAATTGATTTTTTCTAAAAGTGATAAGATTAAATTGATTGGAAATTATAGTTGGATCACCAAATTGAATTTTTCTAATAGTTCAAGGATGAAATTGCTTTGAAAGTATAGATTCAACCGTGATTATCAGTCGGAGAAATTTAAAGAGTTATTTTATGAAAATGATTATTCTACTTGTACATCAAATGTTACATCAAGGATTACATAATGTACAAGTGACATATACATCTAATGTTACATAATGCACAAGTGACATCATGTAATTAGTTAATTTTCACCAACCAATTACATGATGTCACTTGTGCATTATGTAACACTTGATGTAACATTAGATGTATATATCACTTGTACATTATGTAATCCTTGATGTACATGCATCAAAGCCCTTGTGAAAATGGTATAAAGACAGTTAACAATTCTTGTACACCTCAAGAAAGACTAGGAATTAACTCTAATATTACAAGAACTCCTTCCAAGTTTTTAAGTGTGTAGTTTAACTATGCAGCAAACTATTGTTTTGAGTGTAGTTTAACTATGCAGCAACTATTTTCTATAGCATACAATTGGATTCTCCTTCAAATGGTCAGAAATGGCCATTCTTTATAATTATAATGAAAAGACACTGAAACATACTAATAGATTTGGAGATTTCGTTAGAATATTCATCACACCAAATTACAGAAGAAAAGGAACTCTTTCAATACGGCATTCCCATTATTGACTTCGCACAATAGGTTTATCAGAAAATGTAGTCTGGTAACTGCAGAGGGAACCGTGCTACTTCAACCTCAAACGGGTCTCCTTTCGGATCTGCCAATCTGGGTGAAACCGAATATCGAATTTCAGAAAACAAAAGTTAATCACCCTTTATAGCTATTGCAGAAACATTCAATCTTATTCGGCCTTTATACCAAAAAATCCGAGTCAACAGAAAGCACTGGACAATGAGAGAGAAAAATGTCCTTCACAACTCAAAAACACTGAAAGCAAAGGAAACACTAATTTTTTTAATCTTTTGCAATTCACTATGTAAAATTCAAGGCGTACCTTCCAGGGACAAAAGTAAACGATCCTTCAATAGATCCTTGAGAACATGGCTGAGGTGTGAAACTCTCGTAAACAAATTCATCCTCACCAGGATGTAGTAGTGGAAACTGCGGTTATGTGATTAAGATAAAAGAGTAAATAAGGCTCAAATATAAGACTGCAAATGTAACAACATTTAACTCAACAAATAGTCTTTGGAAGCTTGTGGAAGTATTAATCCTTCTCTTGATAAGTCATATGGCTACATTTCTATCTTCAATATTACTAGAGTAACCAAAAAGCACAGATGTAATATTAATAAGACTCAACTAAGCACAAAAATTATAATGCATAAGGTATTCCACTCATACAATGTAATGTAGAGGAGTTGTTTAGGAACATTCGTAATAGACCAGATATTTTGCTCAACATGGAGTAGTTCAAACTTCGTCCTTGGTCAATATCAAGGAGTCAGCACAAAGTTGAATTGAATGAAACAGCAAAATAGACCTGATTCATGAAGCCCCTATAAACACCTTGAGATATTCAGATATAATAAAATAAATTTGTCATCCCATTAGAGGATCATTCTTTTAAACAAGTCAAAACAACATAAACGCTAAGAATCAACAAGCTGGTAACGACCAGTACAGAATGAGATTTGATCTTCTTTTAGATATATATTTGCTGTTTCCTTAGTGCCATCTATGCTCTGCAACCCTCTAGACAAAATCGTTCCATATTATGTATTTAAGTTGGTTTCTATTTAATAGGTATGGAGTCTATTAAATAACTGCCAAACATCTTAAGATATATACAATTTTAATTTTCCTACCTTTGACTGATCCTTTTGATGTAGGACAGTGGAAGAAAACAGAGAAAAAACTGGTCCTTCTGATGTAGGGCAGGGGAAGAAAACAATGATAAATGAGAACACAAGAGTTGGGAGAAGAATAGAAAATAGAGAGTGAAAGCCTAATAATTGTTAATATAATAGTCAATGCCAGAATTGTTAATCTACAATTGTCACATTGAAAAGTAGAAGTCCTAACAAGACTCGAGAACATACTCAAACTTGCTAATAATTATACAAGAAAAAAAGTAATATCTACATTTACACCTAAAAGGCATAAATCAGATGGTAATCTCCTTCATTTCTTAGACTCAGTTTGAAAACATTCATAAATCTAAAAATTGTGAAATTATGAGCTTTATAACTGTTGCATCAGAAAATTAGCTCCATGAAGCATTTTACTCACAAATAGTGACGTACCCAGTCTACGGTTCAAAAGTTGATCCAACTATTTAATCTTTGATAGGTGGTGCATATTTCTCTTTCACTATAAGTATATTAAAATTGATTTATAATTAACTATATTACTCCTCTATCTTATCCTTGAAATGTAGATTTCAAATTCAAGTCAATTAAAGATCCACAGGAATAAATACTGCATACTCTTCACATATATGAATCAAATCAAATGTTTGAATCACAGTTCAGCAAGACAAGAATTTAATCAGTCTACAAAAGGTTCAAACCAATTCATTCAAGAGTGACAGCTACCATAACCAAGTGAAAATGTTTGAAAGTTATAATCAAGAAATCCTACCTTTCCGATTACAGCTTCTCCATTGACAATTGATACAACAGCATCATTAGCACATATAGTCCAGTGTCTCCAATACAACTGGCAAGAACTGAATTTCATTCCATTGATGACACACCCACTAGGGGAAAGAGACATGCGGATCGAATAAGCAAACAAAAACTTCTCTGATTCATCTTGAAGGTTACTGAACTCAGGTACAAATGCAGCTGAAGCACGGACCTGAAGTTCATATCTCAATTGTCAAATTGTTAAGGTAAAGAAAATGTCCTAGACAAGAGATAGGAGTAAACTGTGCGTAACAAAAACATATATTTG